GCACTGTGTGAAATATCGGCCGATATATATCGGCCTTGGCGATATATCGGTCGACCACTAAATATAACCAATGTGACCACCTGCTTGCACAGGGAGCGTGCTTTCTGTTTGAAGTTACCTAGCTGGGGACTATTTTCAGGTGCTGCGTAATATCATTGCGCCTGCTGCACCCATGGTACGGCAGCAAAGTTCCTTGATTATTACACCGGAATGAGAGTATAGTTCCTAGCCACATCAGCCTAGATAATCGCAACTTTTCATTTTCCGTCTTAGTACACGATGTAACTACAGAAGAGTCAAGTTTTAAATGGGAAAAATATCGAAACTCTTTGGTCATTTTTGAGCAAGATGCTAACGGTCTAATCAGATTCAATGATCTATGCTAAGCTACAGCTAAAAGTGCTACCGCCAGACTCGGAGATCGGCTGAATGGATTTGTTAATGGTAAAACTCAACTGTTTAACTCTAGGGGAGTTGGAAAATATATTTTGAATATTTTCAAAAAAAGTGGAGTGTTCCTTTAAAGTATCATACAAGTGTCAAATATTTTATCGCCACACTAATCACTGCCTGTAAAGGTGTAAAATAACACCTTGAGCATTTTATAAATATCCAAGGCTTTAAAATGGTAAATTGCACCTAACCAGAAAAAATCCTCTGAAGAGGTTGTAAATAGCATGGGTTTTGACTGAAATTCCACTAAGATGGCAAAGCCAAGACCATTTTCATTTCATGTTGTTCTTCCAGCAAATCCCCCCTGTGTTTTTCAAACCCTCCAGCCACCTTTCCCAAATTCTTTCAGGCTCAGGAGAAAAACCTACAGCCAAGAATAAGCAGAAAGAGCGAGAGAAAGAAAGAATGAAAGTATATACTGTATTTTGTACATACTCAAAAGCAAACATACTCTATGTGTAGCAGAGAGAACAGTTGGAGAATATGACTAAAACACATCTCCATTGGAGCAGGGGTCATAACAATCATAATTTCAGGAAATAATCATCATATTTGAAGGGGTTTGTTTAGTTTGGCAGCAGGGTGAAGAACAGAAATTGTAGCGTAACCTGACGAGTATTACACCCAGCGGAAGCCTCAAACGGTCTGCTGTCTCAGAGGCCGAAAAAACACACGGGAGGTTGAGCTCCCTGCCTGGCCGAATCAAAACAATGGTTTATATGGGGTTATATTTCAAATGGATAGACCTGGTTATAAACACACACTACCGCTCAAAAGGTTGGGGCCGGTATAATTTTTATGCTTCGTTTTGAAAGAAATTAATACTTTTAATTAGCAAGGATGCATTCAATTCATCATAAGTGTCAGTAAAGACCTTTACACTGGAACAAAAATAAATAAATTTAAAACATATTAATATTACAATTTATAATAATACCTCTTTTCAACATTGATAAGACTTTTTTCTTGAACACCAAATCAGCCTATTAGACTGATTTCTGAAGGACCATGAGACATTGCAGATTGGAGTAATGGTTGCTGAAAATTCAGCTTTGCCATTAAATGAATAAATTACATTTTAAAATACATTAAAATAGAAAACATTAAATAACTGTTTGACAGTATTACTGTTATTAACTGTATTTTGATTCAAATAAATGCATATATAAAGAACAGACTTATTTGAATAAAAACTTGTGTGTGTGTGATATATATACATATATATATATAGAGAGAGAGTCATTTAGCAGAAGCTTTTATCCAAAGCGACTTTCAAATGAGGACAACGGAAGCAATCAAAATCAACAAAAGAGCAATGATATACAAGTGCTATAACAAGTCTCAGTTAGCTTAACGCAGTACATGTGGCAAAGTTTTTTTTTAAATTATATAATAAATAAAAAGAAAACAGATATAATAGAAAAAGAAGATAAAGCAGGATATTTATGCCCTCAGACACTTAAACACACAGTATTAACACATCAATTGCATCAGCATCTTTACTCAATTTGTTATACAGCTAATTCAATGTACAAAAACAACAACAAAAAGAATTAAAGGGATATTTCACCCAAAAATTAAAATTCTGTCATTAATTTCTCACCCTCATGCCGTTCCAAACCCGTAAGACCCTGAACGCAACTACCACGTTCAAGGTTCAGAAAGGTAGAAAGGACATCGTTAAAATAGTCCATGTGACATCAGTGGTTCAACCGTAATTTTATGAAGCTACGAGAATACTTTTGTGCACAAAGAAAACAAAATTAACTACCGTATTGGCCCGAATATAAGACGACCCAGAAACACACAAAATAAAAGCCTTTTCTCTAGTGGTCTCAGCTGCAATAAAAATGATTCAAGCCCCAGAGAGTTTAGTAATATATCATAAAAGGCTGTCATGAATATGATAAAATTCATTTAGGTGGACCTGTGACGTTCTGGAAGAATGGATGTATGGATGGAACCAAACTTGATCTTTTTGGACCCATGTATCAGTGGTATGTAGGCAAGCAGGCAAGGCTTATGAGCAGAAGAACAGCATCCCCATGGTCAAACATAGAGTTGGGCCAGTCTTGTTATAGGGGTGCTTTGCTGCTACAGGAAGTGGAAAACTTGTTGACTGCATGAAGAATATCATGGATTCTTTGAAGTATCAGGTAATTTTGGCAAAGACTGTGATGCCTTTGATGCATAGACTGAACCTGATGATCACTGGACTTTCCAGCAGGGCAACCATCCCAAAGCATACATCCAAATCTACTGAAGCAACATGAAAACCAAAGATTATCAGTGATCTGGGACCGTTTTCACATGAGGTATTTGCTAAGATTCCAGTGGAGAGCTGCTGTAAGCAGAAGCTCATAAGCACTTAGAAGCAACGCTTATTTGAGATTATAAAGAATAAAAGATTCTCCACAAAATTTGGCTTTTAGGGGTTAATTAATATTGTACTTCAATATTTTGAGCCAATTTGATTTTTTTTCTCAATTTTTTATCAACTTTATGAATCTCAGAATCACTCAAATGTGTTTTAATAAACTTTCTATAATAGTTTACTTGTGCTTTGGTTGAATTGTTTTCATAATCTTTTGTTTACGGCAGCAGAACGTCAAGGGGGTTGAATAAATTTGATTGCAACTGTATATCTGTGTCCACTGCAGACACAGACACTTTCTTTGAATTGACTAGATATACACTGCCCTCTGGTGGGCGTTTGTGGAGGGTCTGCTAAGACGTCAGCAGTGTCCTCTGGGAGTTTGGCATGGATGTACGTGTCCTTGTTGGATGACTCACCTTCCTGATATTGATCGATGCCTTGTTGAAGGGAAAATTGCCATAAAACTCCAAGAATTCCTGCAACAATTTCTCTGTGGATGAAAAAATTTAAACAACTGAAAATAAACAGCAGTGTCATTAACACTCAATCGCCTAACGGCGCTTATTTAACGCCTTGCGGCGTTATGAAAACGGCGTTTTAATATTGATAAGGCGGTGAAAAGCACGCGAATTATGACCCATATGGCTTTCCATAGTTGACTGCCGTCTGTAGCCGTGCTTCAAGTCGAACGCACCTAACGTTACTGGCATGATTGAAAGCAAACGTGAGAGGTCACGGAACTACGGCAGGGTGTGGCCAAGTAAAAAAATAAAAAATCTCCAAAAAAATCGCTAGTTTTATTTAAATGTAGCTAAAATAGCTCCTTGTCGCAAAAAATAAAAAAAGTAGCAGCTACAATGAGAAAGTAGCTAAATTTGGCGACAAAATCCCCAAATTGGCAACACTGTCCTTGACCATGGCAGACAAGAAAACGACTGTGTGTGTGTAGAATATCAGCTCAGAGGAGAGAAATACAGTGACGTATCCTGAGCCACTATACTTTACTGGAGTTACAGATGATGAGACAGCAGTGTCTCATGTATTTAACACACACACACACACACACACATTATACATTTTGAAAATTAAACAGAAACAAAAAATGCACGATCCCATTCAAAAGCCTTATTTTGCAGCAAATTAGGCAGGCAGGATATGTATGTTTATTATTTCTAAATATCTGACTGTAGTGTAAAAACCTGAAATAGGAATGTGATAGCATTTATAGTAATTGTATTAGTATTTATTGAATAAATGCTTCAATTAATAACTCACGGCTATGAGTTATGAAGCTATGGAAAATAATTTACAAGGTTTTATAAGAGGGCAATTTGACTTGTAAAATTAAATGTTAGTTAAAAGCAAATAATCCAAGCCATATAGAAAATGTATTTAGACATGCAAAGGGTGTTTTATGACTTATTTATATGATGGGCTCTTTCTACATTATCGTTCTAAAGTTTGGGGTCTGTAAGTTGTTTTAATGTGTTTGAAAGTAGTCTTTTATGCTTACCAAGGTTGCATTTATTTGATCAAAAACAGTAAAAATAAAAGCTGTACTATTTTGAAATATTATTTAAAATCAATGGTTGATATTTTAATATATTTTAGAATGTAATTTATTTACATAAAGGAAAAGCTGAATTTTTAGCAGCCATTACTCTAGTTTTTAGCGTCACATGATTGTTCAGAAACCATTCTAATATGTTGATTTGATACTCAAAAACATTTATTATTATCACTCTTGTAAATGGTTGTGCTATTTATTTTTAAAAGCAACACTGGAGCCGAGAAAAAATTGCTTTTTGATTTTTTAATTGAGTTCTGTTTTTATTTATTTTTTCTTTCAATATTAATTTTCGCACTTTGATTTCTGAGCCAAACTCATCTGTCACAGGACAGAACATAATCTAAGAGATCCTGTTTCAGTCATAACTCAGTTTTGACCAAATGTGTAGTTACTGTCCTTTGCCTTTGTATGGCAGTGTAGTACAATAGACAAGAAACTGCAGAAAAGCATGGCTGTAAAGGACAATTGTGTATACCTGCCAGCTCCTTCAGTCGGTCCAGTGTGGGCAGTATGGGAGGATTCCTCTGTTGTAGAAAGAAAACTACCATGACCGTTAAAGAGAAGTTGGTGATCCATGCTCCTGGAATACTGCTTGTGATACTATGAGCCCGAGCCCAGCACCGCACGCTGAACACCAGATGCCGAACACGAGGGTCCAACTGGCCGTAGAGAAACAGCAGTTCTGAACTCTTCATCGCCACCCTGCACACATGACAACGTAAAATAAAACAAGACATGTACCTGGGTTTAGGACGGGATCACCAGTTTGATAAAAAAAATTGAAGAATATTTGGAAAACCAGTTTAAAAAAAAAATTGGAAGATGCTCCTCTCTTCAGCTGGTACTCCAGAGACAGTCCAGAGCCCTGTTTAAAACATTACTGTATAAACAATAAACTTGAAAAATATAACTGCTATTGTTCTAACCTTAATTGTAGAAATGTAATGTATATTTTTAACTGTGGACATAATCCTTAAGAACTGACCAGAACACTGAAGTTGGATTATTTAGTCATTTAATTGTAATATTTTTTAAATACACCTCCAAAAACAGACGAATAAAATTGCACTATAAAAGTTGTATTTCAAATATCTACTAATAAAAAAAATAGGCAAAAACAACAATAAATTAGATTTTCACTCTTCACACTAATCGAGTACTTAAAAGGACAGTTCACCCAGCAATGAATATTCTGTGATTCCAAAACTAAAACTACAATAATTCCTACAACTATATGACTGACTTTCTTCTGCAGAACAAAACAGAAGATATTTTGGTAAATGTCTCAGTGGTTTTTGTCCATACAATGGAAATCAATACTGATTGGCTACAAATGAAGAGTTTATTTGCAAAAAACATAACTTGTTTTATTGTGCTTTATTGTGTTAGTTAGCTGTATTTTTTAGCTATTTTACTTAACCAAAATAACCAAACTGCAGTTTGATTGAGATTAATTGGAATGCACAATGAAAAAACATGATTTTTGAAAATTGTTAAAAGCTGAGTTATCTGTTTTTGCAAATGAACTATTCAAATATTCTTCAAAATATCTTCATGTTCCAAGTCATTCAGGTTTGCAATGATGAATAAAAGATAGAATTTTGAGTTAACTATCCTAATCTACTTAGGTAGTCCACAGCACTGACCTTTTTCTGGCTTGTTGCATAGATCCCATCAAGGTCCAGAATCATGTCAACATCACAGCCCAGTTTGCCAAAGCTGTTGACAGAGGAGCCAAAAGGCCTGATAATGCATTCTGGGAAATATGCTCCAGCTATGTCTCGAAGCAGAGAACAAACAAGGAAGCGCAGACTGATGTTCTCTTCTGTGAGCTGCAAGGTCTCTGTCAGACACTGCAGTTGTTCATCTATCTGTAGAAGAAACGTGAAGAGAAGATACATATTTGAAGCTCCAACCAGCAGACATAAAAAGGAACTGCTAAACGCATCTCCCATTCCAATTTTTATCCTTTTCCATTAGCCACATCATATGTCTTTGTTTAAAAAAAATGAACATATCACCCAGAGAGGACTTACACTGTCCTTTTCCGAGAGCAGCTGAGTGATTTCATTGATGGATGGAGGGGACTGCTCCTTGAACTTGATCATGGGATGATTGCTCGACTGACTGCCTGGCCATTTTAATGACAGCAGGCGAGATTTGAAAGGCACTGAAGCTTCATGTTCAACAGCTGGTATATTAGTGCTCTCCTTCAATGAGGCAATGCTCTCTCTGCTGGAGAATTCAACTACTGCATTTGCTCCCTACAGAAAGAGAAACACATTATAAGCACAACAGTTCGGTCAGTTTCAGATCTTTGTGATCAAGCATCACAGGATTTCTAGATATTAAATTTGTCACAATTCCTATTTGTAACTTATAGTTCTGCAACACTTACGTAGCTATTGTAGAAGAAATGTTTGTTGACTGTCCCATGTTTAGACAGGTAATCTAAAAACTTCTTTTCGTTTATCTTAGGCGGACAGCTGATCAAAACAGACCTTTCAGCTTCTTCTCTTCTCTCCTCTTGGATTGCTTGAAATGTTTTACTCTCCTTGGCTTTCGTGAATAAAACGAAAGTGGAGCAAGAGGAAAGAGGCTTGAGCTACTGGACATGTAATGCACTTGCTATTTCCATCACGATTTTCACCATGAGACGACAACTTGGTATTTATTTTTAACATAAAATGGCAGCTTTTTATTATGATTATTATTATTATTTTTACAGCTGTCATTGCTATTACTTAATTGAAATCACTTGGTAAATGTCATGCTTACAGTACTACAGTAAAACAATGTTAGTTACCGGCTTTCGCTGTCTTGTTCTCTGTCTGGGCTTTGATTGCTGATGTAGAACGAAAGTGGAGCAAGAGGAAAGAGGCTTGAGCTACTGGACATGTAATGCACTTGCTATTTCCATCACGATTTTCACCATGAGACGACAACTTGGTATTTATTTTTAACATAAAATGGCAGCTTTTTATTATGATTATTATAATTTTTTTTTACAGCTGTCATTGCTATTACTTAATTGAAATCACTTGGTAAATGTCATGCTTACAGTACTACAGTAAAACAATGTTAGTTACCGGCTTTCGCTGTCTTCTTCTCTGTCTGGGCTTTGATTGCTGATGTAGTCGAAGTGAATCTTACTTGCGTTTGAGGTTCCAGTCCAAGACAAAATTTATCAAGCCCCCCTAAAGCCCTGAAACGTAACCTACACACGCCAAAGGAGGCCGCCATTGTTGATTTGAGACGGGCGCGTGCGTACACATTGGCTCTACGGTGGCTGTGAACGGACCTGCAGTGCTGCGTTTCGCATTTGGAAAAACCCGAAAAGGCCAGGCTGGAGATCACCAAATTTCAAAATACCTACTTGAAAATAGTGTTGGAGATTTTGACCCATTTCTGAATACTTTGAATTTGCTCACTGATTCGTTTAGTGACTTTTTCTGCAGGTTTACACGTTATGATCGTCACGCCAGTTGAGTCAGTCCATTCATTTTATTCACGGAGTCGTGAGCGAAAACGATTTATATGCCTAAAAGATTCATTTATAAACATCGGTTCGTTCATGAACATAAGCCAACTGACTTCTTACTTTTCAAAAACCCTTAGTTATGAGATAACACGTAGGCTACGTCTGCGAGATGTCCGTTAAAGTAGATCACTAGATCTGGAAAGCATCTGACAGATGTCTGTAAGATATCAGTTTTACATACATTCTAAATCATAAACATCTTAAAAACATAGACGTCTATATGACATCTGATGGGAAAAGTCCTATAGACATATTTGCAGATGAGCAAACACTCTAAAAAATAGGTCTTGCAGTCTATGTAAATGCAGATGTCAAATAGACGATCTCCGTCATGTGCTATCAGGGAAATTCAATCCCGTGACTCGTTCACCAAAAGATTCGTTCACTGACTCGTTTAGTGATCTTTTCTGCGAGTGTAAAAATTGTGATGTTAATTACTTGCCTATCATAACATGTCACAGGAATTAACGAAACGGCATTGTGCTAGGTCAGCGGACTTCACTAATTTATAACCAATAAAGTTTTTCACCTTGTACTGTATATCAAAGAAAGAGCACAAACGTGTGGGTCTTTCTTTATACCGGTTCATACTAGTTTATGCTTTTCTTTGCTATCGCAAGAACGTACAACTTTTCCCTCTTGCGTATCGTGAAGATGAAAGCGAATGACATCTTTTTATTCCACGGAACATTCTGATAGGGGACTGTGGCAAAATTAAAGCAGATACGTGACCTCCCAATGAGAAAATACCTCTCATTGAAAAGAGAAAACGAAACCGCGGTTGACGTAGGCGCAGCTCATGTTCATCTTATCTGCGCGCGTCAGTCTGTGAGAGCCTCAGTGGGAACTATGGACAATCAGTGAGCATGTGCCCTGCTGTGATCACACTGACCGAGAGGTAAGCAAACGACTGGGATTTCATGGATATTATATCGTTTTTTATACATTTCGAGCAGCTATTGCTTTTATAGTTTAAAATGTACACAGCAGGTCAATCAGGTTGGTTATTGGCAGTGTTGCGGCTGCCTATTTCTAGTCAGTCAGTGTTTCTGAATTTATTTTTTTATCAGTAATGATAAATTATTGTTGTTGTTGCTGCTATACATGCTTTTATTATTACTTAATGATTCCACATGAAGTAGCCTATAGAAGATGTGGTTGTCAGAATTTGTCAGCATTGTGTGTGTATTTAAATTGGGGGTCTGTCAAAACAGACAGTGAGTTTGTGCTTAAGGACCTTGAAAAGATCTTCAAGTTTCAATGTAAACGTTTTAGCTGCCATTTGTTTTGAAGAAGAAAGCCCATCTTGGGGTTTCCCACCCCTAAAAACCACCCCTCACTTGCAGGCAAAATAGAGCAAGCAAGCACATCAGGAAACATGCCTGACCACACCGTGAACATACATATGCATGCAAAACAAATGTATGCATGCACTAAATTACTTTAATGTTCTGTTTCTAATGATCAAACATTCTGTTGTAGGATTCAATCAAGGATGGAGTACGAGAATGAAAATGCTGGTATAGAACTGCTTCTTGCTCACATGAACATTGAAGACTTCATCCAAGAGGCAGAGAATTTCTACTGTGTTGGCGAGGAGGTGGAAGCAGGAGTTTCATTTGAAGAAAGTTTCTCGCAAGAAGACATGGATGAGATTGAGGAGACGCCACAGGATTTAATCTCACATGTGCAAAATCCTGGAAAGGTCCGTTACGGGACTGCATCCGACCTCCTGGACTTTGTAAATACGGTTTCAAACACCCCGTCCTCCTCTCTATTGGAGGTGGGTGAAGAAATGGGGGTTCTGCTAAACAAGGTAAGCTCTATAGGTGGTTATTTTTGATGACATAACATGCATAACATATATAGTAACAGTTGCAATGTACAGTTCGGTATTAAAGCATTATGTAAGTGAATGAATTGTTTAAACTGTGAGATTGTTGGCTCAATCAAAGCAACTCATATGATAAGAAAAGGTTACAAGTTGCGTTTAGCATTTGCAAAAACCCGAAAAGGCCAGGCTGGAGATCACCAAATTTCAAAATACCTACTTGAAAATAGTGTTGGAGATTTTGACCCATTTCCGAATACTTTGAATTTGCTCACCGATTCGTTTAGTGACATTTTCTGCAGGTTTACATGTTATGATCGTCACGCCAGTTGAGTCACAGTCCATTCATTTTATTCACGGAGTCGTGAGCGAAAACGAGTTATATGCCTAAAAGATTCATTTATAAACATCGGTTCGTTCATGAACATAAGCCAACTGACTTCTTACTTTTCAAAAACCCTTAGTTATGAGATAACACGTAGGCTACGTCTGCGAGATGTCCGTTAAAGTAGATCACTAGATCTGGAAAGCATCTGACAGATGTCTGTAAGATATCAGTTTTACATACATTCTAAATCATAAACATCTTAAAAACATAGACGTCTATATGACATCTGATGGGAAAAGTCCTATAGACATATTTGCAGATGAGCAAACACTCTAAAAAATAGGTCTTGCAGTCTATGTAAATGCAGATGTCAAATAGACGATCTCCGTCATGTGCTATCAGGGAAATTCAATCCCGTGACTCGTTCACCAAAAGATTCGTTCACTGACTCGTTTAGTGATCTTTTCTGCGAGTGTAAAAATTGTGATGTTAATTACTTGCCTATCATAACATGTCACAGGAATTAACGAAACGGCATTGTGCTAGGTCAGCGGACTTCACTAATTTATAACCAATAAAGTTTTTCACCTTGTACTGTATATCAAAGAAAGAGCACAAACGTGTGGGTCTTTCTTTATACCGGTTCATACTAGTTTATGCTTTTCTTTGCTATCGCAAGAACGTACAACTTTTCCCTCTTGCGTATCGTGAAGATGAAAGCGAATGACATCTTTTTATTCCACGGAACATTCTGATAGGGGACTGTGGCAAAATTAAAGCAGATACGTGACCTCCCAATGAGAAAATACCTCTCATTGAAAAGAGAAAACGAAACCGCGGTTGACGTAGGCGCAGCTCATGTTCATCTTATCTGCGCGCGTCAGTCTGTGAGAGCCTCAGTGGGAACTATGGACAATCAGTGAGCATGTGCCCTGCTGTGATCACACTGACCGAAAGGTAAGCAAACGACTGGGATTTCATGGATATTATATCGTTTTTTATACATTTCGAGCAGCTATTGCTTTTATAGTTTAAAATGTACACAGCAGGTCAATCAGGTTGGTTATTGGCAGTGTTGCGGCTGCCTATTTCTAGTCAGTCAGTGTTTCTGAATTTATTTTTTTATCAGTAATGATAAATTATTGTTGTTGTTGCTGCTATACATGCTTTTATTATTACTTAATGATTCCACATGAAGTAGCCTATAGAAGATGTGGTTGTCAGAATTTGTCAGCATTGTGTGTGTATTTAAATTGGGGGTCTGTCAAAACAGACAGTGAGTTTGTGCTTAAGGACCTTGAAAAGATCTTCAAGTTTCAATGTAAACGTTTTAGCTGCCATTTGTTTTGAAGAAGAAAGCCCATCTTGGGGTTTCCCACCCCTAAAAACCACCCCTCACTTGCAGGCAAAATAGAGCAAGCAAGCACATCAGGAAACATGCCTGACCACACCGTGAACATACATATGCATGCAAAACAAATGTATGCATGCACTAAATTACTTTAATGTTCTGTTTCTAATGATCAAACATTCTGTTGTAGGATTCAATCAAGGATGGAGTACGAGAATGAAAATGCTGGTATAGAACTGCTTCTTGCTCACATGAACATTGAAGACTTCATCCAAGAGGCAGAGAATTTCTACTGTGTTGGCGAGGAGGTGGAAGCAGGAGTTTCATTTGAAGAAAGTTTCTCGCAAGAAGACATGGATGAGATTGAGGAGACGCCACAGGATTTAATCTCACATGTGCAAAATCCTGGAAAGGTCCGTTACGGGACTGCATCCGACCTCCTGGACTTTGTAAATACGGTTTCAAACACCCCGTCCTCCTCTCTATTGGAGGTGGGTGAAGAAATGGGGGTTCTGCTAAACAAGGTAAGCTCTATAGGTGGTTATTTTTGATGACATAACATGCATAACATATATAGTAACAGTTGCAATGTACAGTTCGGTATTAAAGCATTATGTAAGTGAATGAATTGTTTAAACTGTGAGATTGTTGGCTCAATCAAAGCAACTCATATGATAAGAAAAGGTTACAAGTTGTCATAGCCTTACTCTCATGAACACCCTGATTTGTTCCTGCAGACAGACATGGTCATTAAGGAGGGGCATTATCGCATTGAATTGGACGTCCTTCTGTTTCCTTGGAAACTAACCTACAAGCCCCAAGGCCCTGGACACGTTCCCAAAGGCTCATTTGGGAAGGTCCACCTGGCTCAGGACACCAAAACTCGGAAGAGAATGGCATGCAAACTAGTAAGTCCGGGAATCCAGAGAATGTTATTTTCAGGAATCTCAACTTTTTTCTTTTTTGGCAAAGGTAGTTGTTTTCACTCCACTAGGAGGTTAGAATGGACATGACTTCCCTTCTGGGAATCTGTGTTCTGAAGCGAAAACACAGCTTGTTCAAAGTACTATGTTGAAAACAATTTAATAAGCAGAAAAAGAAGGATTTTAAACATGAAGTCAGTCATTGTCAGTCAGTCACAAACATATACTTTTCACGTGAAAATACAAGACAGAAGACATGTGATACTGCATGATTTATTCTTGTGATGATCTTATGCACCAGCATGTGAGGCCACAAGGCTTTATGTAGTGGAAAAATAATGGCTCTGAAAAGAGAAACGCTTCTTGTAGAAACTGTAGCAGCAATAAGAGAATATTTTGAAATGAGGAAGAGCACTTTTGGGAAATAACCCAATTCCCTTAAAATGTTTAGAGGGTCAGCGTGCAGCATGCAGTGTTTGAACAGAAACTGAGAATGGCTCTAACGCACACAGGAAGCTGACAGGAACGCCCCCGTGGAAACATGAAGCCCACAGAGACAGTGTCTCAACTGTGTGGCAGAGTGCAGATGTCAGAGGGAGAAGACATTTCAGACTTGTGGTCAATTTAACAGGTTGTTGCTGACTTGTACAAAAAAAAAATATTTACCATGTCATTGTGGCCTAACGTTTTGATCAAATACTTAGTGATAAAGGTGGTCAATGTCCAGTATAATCGAGTAATATAACTGTAGTTTGATACAGCATTACTTGGTGACTTTGTGAGTCATTGAATCATTAAATTAACCGATTTGTTAAAAAACACAAATTCATTTGGGAGGTTAACAAGCAACTGTCTTAATGAGTGAGTCATTACATAATTCATGTAACAGTTTCTTTCAAAAGCAGGGATTCATTCAGAAACGCCGGTCCATGCGTGTTTCTTGGAGACGCATGATGAAGTTCCAAACGTAGGTCAGGGAGGAGCCAAATCATTCAGTCCTGTCAATCATCATTACGAGCCTACTGTATATACTTATAAATATACATTTAAAATTTGCTAAAAAATGTGCATTATCCATTGACAGAGATGTTGGTAGATTTTGGAAATACTGTTAATCGTTCAAGTGGGCATGAATATAATAAACAATCAAAACAGACACATATATAATAAGCCTGGTGTATATATTAATCCTTAACTACTAATAATTCAGTACTTTGGAAATCAGTGTGGCAGTGTGATTCTAGTAATTAATATTGTGAAAGTATATGGGGAAATGTGCAGATCATAGATAGGCAGAATGTACATATTTTACAGTGTTGGTTCTACCTTCTCTAAGCCATCTGCATTTAGTCTTTCTTTTCAAATTATTAGCATATATGAATGCTTAAATAGCATCTATGCATATAAGTATAATGAGCAAGCTCATTTTTGGTGCACTTCCAAAATGTCTGAAATTTATAAGTTAGGTGTACTTTCTCTCCAGATTCCTGTGGAACATTTCAAGCCTGCAGATGTGGAAATCCAAGCCCGGTTCCGTCACGAGAACATAGCAGAGCTGTATGGGGCATTGATGTGGGAGCAGACGGTGCATTTGTTCATGGAAGCGGGTGAAGGGGGCTCGGTTCTGGAGAAGCTGGATAGCTGTGGTCAAATGAAGTTCTGGAGAAGCTGGATAGCTGTGGTCCAATGAGAGAGTTCGAGATCATTTGGGTCTCTCAGCAGGTTCTGCGAGGCCTGGAGTACTTGCACTCTCACAAGATCATACACCACGACATCAAACGTAAGAGCTTTGGATTGCATCATAAAGGATTTTTTTTCTGAAATATCTCTGCAGTTTCCTGCCAAACTGATTGTTTATGACCACTTTACCTCAGCTGCTCTGAATTGAATGTTCAAAACACATTTCAAAAGAAGGGTCAAAAGCAGTTCAGTGCTTTTTTCTTTGCAAACCACAGACACACCAAACCACTGTTATTTCCCCCCTAAATGCAACAGAGGTGCTCTGTAGGTAAATCAGATAATGACTGTGTGGTCAAGGAAGGTATTTCGCTTATTTGACGGAACTTAAAATGAGGCCATCAAGAGGAAGCAGCGATGTTAAATGATTGACAGAGAATCGGCCACAGGCTAGAGAAGTGTTTTTAGTTTATGCCCATCAAAGAAGAGGAACACAACATAATTTAATATGGTAGGGTTGTGGCCAACAACATTCTGCTGCTGTTTAGTCATACGCAGGAGCCAATCAGCGCTGCAGCTCATGACTTCTCAAGCGGCTGGAATTTCCAGTCAGGAGAGCGAGAGCAGGAAGAGATAGACGTGATTACACAAATGTATTACTTTCAAAGGCTTATTCAACAGGCAACCCATCTAGTGTTTTCAAATTTCAGTAAGACTGAGAGAGTAACGTGAAATGAGTGACCAATCATAGTAGTCTGCTTTGTGGTTTTGAGGACTGGCTTTTTGACATTTGGCTTGGAGAGGAAACATGTTATTTCAAGCAGTGTGAAATATGGAGGGAAAGCAAGAAAAGGGGGTTTTGAGACTTCTGATGACCTGTTCATCAACTATTCAAGCCACCCCATGAGTAATGACCTTACTCCGCTTCCGGAAAACAACACCTTGCTGCATTAGTCTCGCTATGCAGCACAAACAAGAACTGAACAACCTATATTTTGCAGAAGTTACTGTAACCTCAAATATTACTACACACTTCTGAATGTTGTTGTTTTTTTTTAGCTTACCTAAATTTCATTTTTGTCCTTGCAGCCAGTAATATTGTGCTGATGTCAGCAAAAGCCGTGCTGGTGGACTTTGGGCTTACAGTACAGATGAAGGATGATGTATATGTTCCTCGGGACTTACGTGGCACTGAGGTGAGTATGTTTGAGGTCACTTTGCACACTTAAATTTTTCCATATTTGGTCAGCCACTGTGTTGTGACTAAAAATTAGTTTAGTCTATATTGAGATACAATGCGGAATTTGTCAGTTCCTGTTTGTGCTGATGGCAGATGTGCTTTAGAAAGTCATAAATATGCATTGTCTTATGGTGTGTACATTTTTAAAAATATTTCAATGGTGATTCTGAAAGGAGATCTGAAAAGCCAGAAGGCACGTGCGCGCACAGACACACTCCCCCTCCCCCTCCCCCTCTTAGCTGACATTCTGTTCCCTAGCAAACTCTGGGAAAGGCCCAAAAGGACACATGCACATTAGCTGCCTCAGTGTTGACATTTTGCCCCACTTGGAAAGTCCAGCATGCCTTGTTGACCAGCACTGAAGATTCCCCACAAAGAAAAATAAAGTTGTTTACTGTATGGCAGTACAGTGAGCAGTAGTGTTGGGCGATATGGTCATTTTTCAAATCGTCATATCGAGCGCCAGTCAGATCACCGATAGACGATATTATCGTGCATTTCAAGAGAGAGACTCTCTGTACTTGTCATAGGCTATTTCATAACAATTTGGTGTTTTAAACCGCAAGAGAGAGGGAGCCTATGGAAGCACCACGAATCTAAATAATATACTTTCAAACATACTGATAAACTAACATGTTAAATACAACAATATTTAAAACAGCTAGTTCATATATATTCGGACACAACAGTCATACATCGCTAGCACCGCGCGTCCTGTGACAAGTTTGCCGCATCGACGCTAGGCAGCTATCAGTCTGGTCTGCAAAATCAGTCAATGGTGAAAATCAAAAGTAGATTTATTTTAAAGACCAACAGTTTAACACTAAATATTGGACATAAACGAACATGTTAAATATAAAGTATTTAAAACAAGTAAGTTCATATATTTGGAGTAAAGTTCAATTAAACGGATACATCAGTCATACAGAGCTCCGGACCGCGTGCCCCATGACGAACCCGACACACTGCCACAGAGACAAGAATGAGATGCGTTCTAACATAACTGTGGCATTAAACTCAGTTAGTGAGGGCTCGGTTAAAATATTGCACATATATAGGCCGTTCAGATTACTTGTTAAAGTGCAACGAAATACGTTATATCAGCAGACGATATGTATCTGTGTTTGTGGTTGGAGACTCCTTCACCGGCTACATGCTCTTCTTTTGCGCGCGCACGCGCGTGTGTGTGTGTGTGTGTGAAATACAGTGCTGAATGAAAAAGCGGGGCAATTTGATAATAATAGCCGAATTATAATGGGCCGCCTAATAATAATAATTATTATTATTATTATTGTTGTTATTATTAATAATTCATTAATAGGAGAATGAGCCTAATATCGTTTTGACTATCGACAAAGACATCTGCTATCATCGATACACGATACTATCGTCTATCGGCACAACCCTAGTTGAGCAGCTCACCAGATGTTCACTAGATCATTTGCCTATTACATCAGAAGTTGTTTTTCATATTTGCCTATTACATCAGAAGTTGTTTTTCATATTTATATTATTCAGAGTGACTGAACAGTAGAAAGCAGCCAGTCCAGTCCAGTATTCATTGCACAAAACTGAATAAAAACAAGTTGCTGCAAATTCTGTTGAAAGCCTCTGCATATGTGAATTCTGAGCTTATTGTTTTTTTTTTCTGTACAGATGTATATGAGTCCAGAGTTGGTTTTATGTCGAGGACACAACACCAAGACTGACATCTACAGTCTGGGAACCACAATCATACACATGCTGAGTGGAAGTCCTCCATCTATAGTCCTAACATAACTGTGGCATTAAACTCAGTTAATGAGGGCTCGGTAAAAATAGTGCACATATATAGGCCATTTAGATTACTTGTTAAAGTGCAATGAAATACCTTATATCAGCAGACGATATGTGTCTGTGTTTGTGGTTGGAGACTCCTTCATGTGCGTGTGTGTCTAATACAGTGCTGAATGAAAAAGCGGGGCAATTTGATAATAATAGCCGAATTATAATGGGCCGCCTAATAATAATAATTATTATTATTATTATTGTTGTTATTATTAATAATTCATTAATAGGAGAATGAGCCTAATATCGTTTTGACTATCGACAAAGACATCTGCTATCATCGATACACGATACTATCGTCTATCGGCACAACCCTAGTTGAGCAGCTCACCAGATGTTCACTAGATCATTTGCCTATTACATCAGAAGTTGTTTTTCATATTTGCCTATTACATCAGAAGTTGTTTTTCATATTTGCCTATTACATCAGAAGTTGTTTTTCATATTTATATTATTCAGAGTGACTGAACAGTAGAAAGCAGCCAGTCCAGTCCAGTATTCATTGCACAAAACTGAATAAAAACAAGTTGCTGCAAATTCTGTTGAAAGCCTCTGCATATGTGAATTCTGAGCTTATTGTTTTTTTTTTCTGTACAGATGTATATGAGTCCAGAGTTGGTTTTATGTCGAGGACACAACACCAAGACTGACATCTACAGTCTGGGAACCACAATCATACACATGCTGAGTGGAAGCCCTCCATGGGTTAGGAGATATCCCAGAACAGCCTACCCCTCATACCTTTACATAGTGAGTGTGCTTATACGATATGATAAAAATGCATTGAACTGCTTGCTCTTTTAATTGTATTTTGTTTGTATGTAATTTACTGCAACAGTATAGGGGGAGTCCCTGAACGTGGCAAAACCTGAAACTGACTATATACATTAACCACAGAGCAAAACACATAAATGCCATGCAGGCTGATGTCATAACTTCATGACATAAGGGCCTCTATTAGCACAGCATGTCTCATGCTGATTCTGTATAATTTTAATAATAACAATTATAATAAGTCTGTATAATTTATTTAATTAATTATTATTATTAAATTTTTTTTAGCTTTTGCTCATTTAGTTTTTTTATTTATTTATTTGTTTCATTTAAACATTATGGCACTTCTGTACCATTTTAATAATTATTAATAATCGCGTATAATATTATTTATAGCCTTTTTAAATTAGGTTTTTTTTCTCTTTTAGGTTTTCTTTTTCCGTTTAAACTTCTGTAAAGCAAAGGATGCTAATTCTGTATAATTGTAATAATAATAAAAATTTTGTATAATATTTTTTATAGTCTTTTTTCTTTATTAGTTCTTTAAATGTTTCTCTTTATTATTTTTCCTTTTATTTTTTCTCTTTAAACCGCTATATAGCAAAGTATGCTAATTTTGTAATCATTCTCTAAACATATTTTTATATCAAGTTTTTTTGTTGTTGTTTGTTTTAGACACTATAAAGCAAAGGATCACAAGATCTAAATCAAAACAAAAAAACTAATATCAGCAGTTTAAGCTTCCCCTGTGTTGCAGATTAGTTTGCATGTTTAAATTTAAGAGTTGCCCATGTAATGGAAACAGACAGCTGGCTCTATACAAAATTATTTTTGTGTTCAACATTTGCACTGCAGCCCAACTGGTTTCAGTTCCCTTTTCACACACTACAGTTCCTTTTCATGTAAATTCATGTACAGTGTCTCTTTGCATGTGGCTGCTTGTGAATGCACCTGTGCCGCCATTGATTTTCACAATCTCTGTTTGCAGATCCACAAACAGGCTCCTCCTCTGGAGGACATACCTGAAAGCTGTAGCCCCGCGATGCGGAGGCTCCTGGAGCATGCACTCGATAGGGTCCCTGCACGGAGGAGCTCTGCCACAGAATTACTAAACGAGGAGGCCCTCCATCCTTCTCGGGAAGACCAGCCGCGCTGTTGGAGTCTGGATTCTGCACTGGAGGAAGGCACACATCCACTGCTGCGACAGCACAGTCAGCTTTCAGACAGCACCCAAGGTACGTCACACAGCACACACACACACACACAAAGCATACCATGTCAAATTCACTTAATTGCATGCTTGAGATCCTTTACTCTTCTATTTTCAGATTCTTCCTTGTACACTGAGGATTCTGGGCACTCGAAGAAAAAAGGATCCCTCTATGTAGATCTGGGCGCCTTGGCTGGCTACTACAATCTGGTTAGAGGGCCACCATCTAGTGAATATGGCTAATTAAGGTGGATTTTTGCTGAGGACCAATGGGGTACTTGTATCAGAATTGCATAGATAGATCATTTCCGTGGAGCTGAATTAATCCACAAGAGGATTCAGAATATACTGTATGGTGTCCTAAATGAGGACAGTCTACGCTGATTGGACAGTGTTTGGACATGAGCTGTCCAATTAGAGATGGACTTCTTGAAGAGAAGACAGACTTGTGGTTTTTATTGTTTGATGAACAGTTTGAGAGGTGTGGTTTTGTTAATGCAGTTCCTTGTCTGTGTTTTGAGAGCATGAATATATCATATGTATATGAAATGCATACTAGGGATGCACCAATATTGAAATCTGGCCAATATAGAAAAGCCTATAATTATTTTTCTGTTATAGATGATAAAAATAAATGGCTGATTTTACAATCATACACTATTTTGTTTAAAAAAAACATTTAGGCATCACAACATTATAATATACAGTATGAAAATGCATATTCATTTTGAGACTTGCTAAAAGCCACATTCAATAGTGATTTAAAATTATTAGTGTTTTTATAAATAAACTTTAAGCAAGCTATAGATGATGCTAAAGGTAATCGAAATGCAAAAAAATAAAAAAACAATGTGCATGAACAATTACAAATCTTAATATTGACTGTGCATCCCTATAATACAGACTAATATTTTCTAATATTTTGTCATATATATATATATATATATATATATAATTGCAGATCACTGTAGCTGTGCTAGGTGTATTGATTATGTATTCCATATATGATCACATAAGGGGCAGGCCCTAATGAGAGTAAATCTGTGCTTTGAAATATGCTGAAATATTCATGAAAATTATTCATATTATACTAAATTATCATTGCTTAATGTTTTTATTTTCAGATTTTTGACCATTGCAGTGCTATGTATGTTAACAACATATGTATCTCCAGTGAACTACAAAGGCAGGCCTGTGTTATCGGAAACTATATGCGTTCTGACCTACATTTGTTGTTTTTTTGTGTGGAATATTATTCATAATATGTGTGAGCCTATTGAATTTGAATATTTGACCACTGACATTAGCCTGTCTGTGCCCTTTAGTAACTCATTTCAGTAAATATTTTCAGTTTAATGTTTATTTGTTAAAATTATTATTAATGTATATTTGCAATCCCCATGTGAGTGCCATGTCTTTAAATAGCTTTACCTGAGATCCCTTGATAATACAATCATTGTAAAAATAAGAGTTGCCAAAAAGCACACTACTTTTTTTCCTCACAGGAAGTGTTTTCAGATGATACGGAAAATAATCTCAGGGTTTTATTCCCATGGAATGTTTTTGTTGAGTAGTTGCAATGCAAGACAATGAAATGTGCACTCAGACAAAAATGTAATCGATCCTCCATATAAACCTAATGTTTTTAATTAATAAAAATTGACTCCATAAACATGTTGAGACACCAAAGCAATTTAGTTGTCTGTACATCTGTATGAAAGCTCCAGTCTGCATATTCTTGTCCAAAAATGAAAAATATTGCACATATTAGCTTATTATTTGTATTTGCTAAAATCAGCATATTAGCAGCCTTTCATGTGTTGATACATCGAATAAATATGTAAAGCCAATATGCTGTCAATTTTGCTTTTATTTGATGACTATTTTATCAGAATTTATAATCTAAGGTTGTGCTTTCAGATAACAAAGGTAAAAAAAAAAAAAAACCTTTGTCTGTTTCAATCAATAAACAGTTCTTCAGAAGTTTCTTAGTCATTTTGGAAAGACCAGAGAGTCTGATTGTGATAATGATAGTATCACCTAAGATGAAAACTGACCTCTGTATTTACAGTACTTGGGGGAAATTATAAAATAAATAAATGTACTAAAAAAAGATGAATAATGTGTGATTCATCACTTGGAAAAGCATTACATGTGTGGTGGAAGTGTTGAGACCACGTTTATAAAGCCAACAGTATCAAGCGTAAAATAAAAATGCAGAATTTGATCGATGATGAAGATAACTAGGCTTATGCCATTAAGTGGGTAAGTTCAAACTCTTTTAGGGGACTGAAAATTGAGTGTGCAGTAAAGGTCAGGAAATTATTTACGCAATGACTTTCAGTACGGAAAACATAAAGGTGTTCTGGGGTTTCTGAGTAAAAAAGTTTTATATTTAAATTATTTTAAGAGGCAATGCACAACCATTTCCATGACACAACGAATCAGAAATTATGATTCAAAATAGGCCTATTTACTGATTGAAAGAAATCAGTATATTTATTTTTTTCCCCACATATACTAACATGTAAGTAGCTTGAGACTGTGTGGAGACCAGATTATGTGAGACACAATGCTTCACTGGAGTGGCCAGTTGCTGCTGAGCTCCAATGAAGTTGAAATCACTACACTTCACAAGAAGCAACGCAATCACACGTGCATAACTATTTCCACGTAGTGACACTGCAATGAAAAGTGTCATTTCTTGAGAAAAAGAGAGCATGGTCAGCAGAGCTCAAATGAGGAAGTGGGTTTCCCCCTGCAGATAGGTTCTGCCTTTGAAGTGAAAGGTGGAGGGGGTGAGACAGAGACTGTATTGCCTGACCTTTATAATGCAGTGACAGATAAAAATTTACAGTAAAGGGACAAAAATTTCTACATTGTGTCAAAGATGTCACTCAAAATAATCACTTATCTACACCCAAACGCCCATGCATATCAACATATTTGCTTGTTTGTTTTTCTTGTTTATCAAGATGAGGGCACTTTGTTGACTTGTATTGATTCATACCAAACTAATGATATTTTCTGTCCGCCCGCTAACCCTAAACCTCACAGAGGGCTTTTTTGCAGTAGATTAACATTAAGGTATTATTTAACCCTATAAAGCCTGTATCATATTTGCCTGTATAAGCAAGACACAGACACACAGAGACACACACACACACAGACACACACACACACTTCTAAAGCCTCTAAATTATGAACATTATCAAAATGTTGCTAAAGAAGAACATTTCCTGCCCCACAATAACACTACAGAGCTTTGATCATAAAAATTTGCATTTAAATACATCTAAGACATTATTTGGAGATATAGAGTGACAAGAGGATTTATATTATAGGCAGTGGTGGAAAGAGTACTGAAAATTTGTACTTAAGTACAAGTACTGTTACATTGCTGAAATAATACTCAATTACAAGTAAAAGTACTGGTGTCAAAACAGTACTTAAGTAAAAGTACAAAGTACTCCTCTCAAAAACTACTCAGAGTACTAGGTTACTAGTTACTTTTTAGTCTGCGATATTTAATGAATTATCAAAAATATTCATTCATATCAAAGATCTATGTGGATAATAGGTACTTTGAACAAAACCCACTTTTATCTTATTGACAAAGTATGTGAATTAGTGGTCATGATACAGGAATTTCTAACTTCAATACCTTGAAAAATATCAGTATCAAAGTACCCGTGAACCGGAAGTTGCAAATGACTTCAGTGTTGTGATGTATTTC